TTCAAAAACTGTGCCAGTCTTTTCTAGAGTCTTGAATCTCTGGAGGAAAAGAGGAGGGTATTTTTTTACAGGTTCTTTTTCCTAGTGAAGTTTTCTTGCCTTTAATTTTGTAGATAGATATTTCTTGTATTTACTTGCAGAAATATAGGAAGTTTATATTAAAGAGAGAAAAAAACAAGTGGGGGAGACTATTGTCTCTTGATATAAGTGTTGTTAATGAAAGTGTATTACAGTTGATGGGAGGTTAGGGATGGAGGGTGGGTACAGAGTATAGACTTTATTATAAGGAAATATAAAATTTCCTTGAAACGTCTGTTTTTTGTGTTGGCAAAAGAATCAGTGGAAAAATTAATAATATGTATTTCTATTTATGTATTTTTATAGATTATTTATGTAATAAATAATAGTTATTTAAAGAAGATCTTTTTATCTTTATAACAATTCAGATTATATTTTTGTTTTTGAGTTAATAAAATAATTATTTCTTTTAAAACTTGTAATTTTATTTTTGACTTGAATACAATTTATTGTTTAAATTGTTACAATATATTTAAACTTTTACAATATTACATATTATTTTTTTTATAAAAAAATTTAATAAATAGATATATTAATTAATCATTTTTATTAAAAAAATTAGATTTATTAAAAAAAATATTTTTTTTATATTTAAAATTTTTTTCTTTACATTAACTATTGATTTTATATTGTCTTATAATTAAAATATATTTTTTAAAATTACTTTAACAATAAAATTAATTGTTAACTTTTAACTTTAAGTTTTGATAATAGCTTTGAATAATAAATTAATATTAGATATAAAAGATTAAAAATTAATTTTGATTCAAGATTGTTTTGATTAATATAATTTGAATTTGAAACAATATAAGATTAATAATTTCCTATAAATAATTCATATTACTAAATGATATAATCATATATGTTACTATTTAAACAATATATTGGTTTTAAAATTTCTTTTCTAATATGATTTAGATATTTTAACTGGTAAACTAGCATTTAACTTATGTATTTTGAAAAATATGGGTTTTTTCTTGAAGATATATTTTGTTATATATAATAAAGAACTAATGTTTATCAACTCAAATAATAATAATAATAATAAATAAATAAAATAAAATCTTAATATTAATTATTTATTAATTAAAATAATAATTATACAGTATACATGTATATGATTATGATTATACGAAATACGTACAGCATATACACACATACAGTAGTACCAATACAGTATGTTACTCCTGCAAAATCAAATAATAAATTATTGTAATAGAATAAAAATTAAAAATATCCGGTCATTTCAAATATCGGTATATACGTATACTGCATTTTTAGTTTGAAAAATTTGATTTATATAGTTGAAATAATAGTAATTGGTAACTTTCTGTTTCAAAAAAAAATAAAGTTAAACAATGGTTATGCAATTATCTGGATATTTTAAATCTACAACAAGTCCGTAGCACGTCTTTTGATATTTACGTCTAAATCTCCGAAAATTAAATTTGTATTTCGCAATGTTTCGCAACTAGCATTAAAGAAATATGCTGATTGTCATTCCATATTTATTTATTCAAAACTGCATTCGGCTCCCTATATCAGGGGCTGACAGAAGAAGTTTTTTTAATACCTCTTTCGATATTAGATCTCAAATGCATATCTTACCAATCGCCGCACGCAGGCCACACTGGTACTACTTAGTAAGCATTACAAAATCATAGTGAAGTAATTATTTGTGTATTTTAGTTCCCTTATATGTACATGTTTGTTCCTTGAGTCGGGTTGGTAAATTCTGTTTCAACTTGGTGCTGTGTAAATGCTAATAATCTGATCACGAATTATTGCTACGAAAAACGTGCATCGATCTTTACCTTATCATAGTTACTCGTTGTCGAGACTCGTCTGTCGAATATATATAAACAGCTTCTAAACGTTTAATAATCATTTTTCAAAATCAAAAATCAATAATGCCAACTAACAAAAAAGGCCCGACCCCACAGACCACGAGTCAAATCATTTCCAAAGCGGATTATTATTACCAACATGTTAAAGAATTATTTATTTCCACTTCTTGGGAGCCATTGCAGCGCTTTGGTACTATGTTTTTTTTTTGTTTTTTTTTTTGCGTTCCTTTTGCTTCTTTGTTTTCCTATACTTCTTTCGTTTACCTTCTCGAAATCATCTTCCTATCTATCCTTTGCCCCAAAATCCATGTCATCATAATAAGCACAAAACACGATTATCTCCTTAATGTCTCGCATTGAAGTTGGATACATTCGCGTCATTAGCAAAGAACACGTCTATGAATTTGGTAAGAAAGGTTCTCCACTATGTTCAGAAATTAAAATCACGAATGACACATTTTGGGTACGGTTATTGTTGTTTGGTGACCTGGTAAGTTGTTATCGAAAACTCCACGCCCCAACATTTTTGCTGCTCAGCCCCACCGAAAAAAAAATTATCTAGTTTTCCGCCCATACTACATATTTTTTTTATTATTATTGTTGATTGACCGAATATGGCACTGATCTTCAGTGAATAAAAAATTTATTACGCCACACATTAACTTGATAATTCGAAGTTACCTAACATTCAGTGACTTTCAATTAATCAGGGATTTGCAGAGGCTTACATGTTAGGCGATGTGACGTGTGATGACTTGGTAACTTTAATCAAGGTATCTACAAGAATTTGCGAATATATTATATGGTAGTTACGTAATTTGCATCTTTCACTTATTTCTTTCATGTAACTTTCTCAATCATTCCAATACAGATCTTTTCTGAAAATAGCTCCCGCCTCGATGAGCTCTCCGGCATTCTCTCATATGTCTTTAACACCATTGGTTACGTCATGAACTCACAATTCGCCAATACAATTTCCAATGCCATAAACAATATCTCCGCTCACTATGACATTTCTAATGAAATGTTTGCCTGTTTCTTAAGTGCAGATATGACATATTCTTCTGCATTTTTTGAGAGTGAACAAGATACCCTAGAAGAGGCGCAGTACAGGAAACTAAGAATGATTATTAGGAAAGCGAGGATTTGTAAGGATGATCACGTATTAGAAATTGGTAGTGGATGGGGTTCCTTTGCCATCGAGGTTTGTTATTGGTTTCGAAGATTGGGGAATGAATATTGAGTTTATAATGATTAAATTCTTAAAAATTACGATTGACAGGCCGTAAAACAAACAGGCTGTAAGGTAACCACTCTGACACTATCTGTCCAACAAAAAAATCTAGCCGAGGAACGTATTGCCAAAGCTGGCTTATCCTCGAGCATCACCGTGTTATTATGCGACTATCGAGAACTACCTGCGTCACACCAATTTGACAAGATCGTTAGCATAGAAATGATCGAGGCAGTAGGATCTCAATATTTGACCACATACTTTGAATGTTGTGACAAGTTCTTAAAAAAGGAAGGCGGCATCGGTGTATTCCAGGTGATCACCATGCCGGAAACGAAGTATCACAGCTATTGTCGGGAGATTGGTTTTATCAGAAAATACATTTTTCCAGGCAAGTTTATTTAATTTAATTTATTTTATTTTTTTACCGAAAATAATTCCCTCAGTTGAAACTGATTTGAATTGTTCATTAATTCATATTTATTTTTCGCTCAAATTAGGTAGTCACTGTCCGGACATAACGACCCTTGTAAATGCAATATACAAAGGCTCCCGAGGTCGTTTAATAATAGATAACATTGAAAATATTGGTCCTCATTATGCTCGTACTCTTCGACTGTGGCGACTAAAATTCCTCGAAGTATTTAATAAACGCATACAACCTTCCTTATTAAAAAGTTGGCCGAATATGACTAACGAAGAAATAGAAATATTTCGTAAAAAATGGGAATTCTATTTTGCCTACTGTGAGGGAGGATTCGCGAGTGGAATTTTGGGGGACGTTCAGGTCGTGGTGTCTCGGGAAGGAAATAAGGCGTTCTTGGACGGAATACCTATGTGATGAATAATAAATGGTATAGAGTTGTAGATAATTTCGTGGAATCGTTACTTGTATCTACAAATTTGTTATCATATTCAACGACTATATTAATAAATTAATAAATAAATGTTATAAAAATATATATATAATTTTTTATGCAAATACAGTATATTTAGGTTTCAAATAATACGGTATATGTAAAATTAATTTTTAAGAATTTTTAAATAATATTTTTGTCTTATTAATTTAAATTTAATTATCAAGTTTGAGTCTTGTAAAAAATATTAAATATTAAAATATTTATAATTTTATCCATTCAAATTATTAAAATAATGATATAATAAAATTATTATTTGATCTTTTGAATTTCAAGATTTTTATAAACTCTATTCTTTTATAATAAATTAAAAATAATATTTTTTTTATAATAATATTTTTTTTTTCATAATTAAACAAGTATTTATTGTATTTATTCAATTTTAAACCAGAAAATAAAATTGGATAAAAACATCTATATATAAATTATTTTTTAAAAAAATTTTAAAATTAATATTTTCATTATTAATTAATTCTTATATTTTATTATATTTTATAATTATTTATAATCATTTTTTTAAAAAATTAATTTGATATAATACTTATAGATTATATTTAATATATAAAATTATATCAAGTAAATAATTTTGGTTTTGTATTTATTTATTATTATATTTTAATTTAAAATATATTTGGATTTTAAATTTGAATTTTTGAAACTAAACATGTTTGCTTTCTTGTTTTACAAGTAAAAAATATATACATATATTATATTGTTATAAATTTTTTAATAAGGTAAACTGATTTTGATTTTTCTAATTTTAGAATAAATTGAATTATATAATATTATTGTTTATATTGTGAATTTATTTGAGTCTATACTTTTTCAATTACAATAAAAAAAAAGTTTTAATATTTTTTTATTCTTGTATTAATATATAAGTAATATTGTAATATATTAATTAATACAAAATTCTGTTAATATTTAAAAAGATATTTAACCTATAATATAATTAGTTGGTAACTTGTAAAATACAATATATTGGAGACATTAGCCCTTCAAATATAGATAGTTTCTTTTATTTTCCTTTCTCAAAAAAGGTTTTTTTTTAAAATATAT